GGGGTTCTGGATGGGGGATTTGGGGTTCTGGATGGGGGTTCGGGGTTCTGGATGGGAGATTTGGGGTGCTGGATGAGGGATTTGGGGTGCTGGATGGAGGTTCGGGGTTCTGGATGGAGGTTCGGGGTTCTGGATGGGGGATTTGGGGTTCTGGATGCGGCCGGGCCGGGCTGTGTGAGCCCCCGCATCCCGCGGATCCAGGACTCGGCTCCCCGCCCGTCCCCGCAGCGTTCCCATTTCCACTCCCTGCTCCTCATCCCAGCCCCAATCCCACACTCCCGACGTGAACCCACAGCAGGAAACAGCCCCCGGCCCTCAGGAGGCGCCAGAGGGGGCTGGGAACCTCAAAATCCCCCCCAAAAAAGCAGGCGGCAGGCGCGGATCCGATGGTTTAATGCGTCCCTGGACACCGTCAGCCCCCGGGCCGGGGCACCGGCGCTGCTCGGTGCGGATCCATCCCGGTGCGGGGAGGGGGCTGGGGGCCCGCGGCTCCCCCTCCCTCCCGTGCCCGGGGCGCAGGCGGGTGGCAGCTGGTGTCCCCCGGTGTCCCCCGGTGTCCCCGGAGCCCGCCGAGCACTTGAGGATGAAGAGGTTGCAGGAGGTTCCGCGGGGGCAGCTGCAGAGTTTCCCGATGCGCGCCCCTCGCCGCACCGCGCACGGTTCCCGGGGCTCGCACTGCGGGGCGGCACCGTCAGCCCCGGGGCTGCACCCCCACAGAACGGGGGGGTTTGGGGTCCCCCCGAAGCCTCAGGGCGAGCCCCAGCCCCGCCGTACCCAGGGCAGCCAGCTCAGCCTCTTCTCCAGCGCCGGCGGCTCCCGCGTCCGCAGCTTGTCCAGCACCTCCTGCAGCACCTCCACCTGCCAGGGTCAGCGCCGGGACACCCCGGGGCTCCGCAGGGTCACCCCGGGTCCCCTGGGACATCCCGGGGCTCCACAGGGTCACCCCGAGTCCCTCGGGAGCTCTGGATCCGTGTCACCCCAAATTCCTGGGACACCCCGGGGCTCCGCAGGGTCACCCCGGGTCCCCCGGCACATCCCGGAGCTCTGGATCTGTCATCCCCGGTCCCACGGGATCTCTGGATTTGTCACCCCGAGTCCTTCGGGACAGCCGGGATCTCTGGATTTGTCACCCCGGGTCCCCCGGGATCTCTGGATTTGTCACCCGGGTCCCCCGGGATCTCTGGATTTGTCACCCCGGGTCCCCCACGCTCCTGTCCCGTCCCCACCCCGTGTCCGGCTCATCCAGGTCAGGAATCAGGGCTGGGGCAGGATCGGGGGGGTTCAGGGTCTGTCCTTCGGCTGCCTCCCACCCCCACGTCCCCTCTCCGGTCCCCACCACCCTCCTGCAGCTGAGCCAGAGCTCGGGATGGAACCGGGAAGGAGAAAACGACCAAAACTCCCCAAACCGGCCATAGTCGCGTGCTCCGGGATGTCCCCGGTGTCCCGAGGACCCCGGGACAGCAGCACAAAACCAGCGGAGGGGTCTCGGTTTCCCCTCCCCAGTTCCCCCGGGACCGCCCGGAACCGGTCCCGAACCGGGACGGGAGGAGCAGGAACATCCCAAAATGCCCCAAAAACGCTCGGGGGGTGCTGGGAACCCCCTTTCCCCCTCCCCCAGCCCCTTACCAGCTCCGTCTCCTCCCGGCTGTGCCCGGGCGGGCTCAGGGCGGGCCGGAGCTCCGGTACCGGTTCGGGGGTGCCGAGCAGGATGAGGCCGGAGCCCAGCAGGCAGAGCAGGCAGAGCCGAGCGTTTTCCATGTTCCCGGTGCCGGCTGCGCCCCTGGATGCTCCGGGATGTGCCGGGCTCCGCTTTATACCCCCGCAAACAGCCGGTGACGCAGACGGGTCGCCCAAAACCCGGCACCGTCACCGGGCTGGAGGGGGGACACAGCGCCCCTGGGGACACCGGGGCCACCAGCCAGGGCCGGGGACGGACGTCAGCAGCGGGGACCCCCGGGTGACCCCCGCAGGCCGCAGCCGCTGCCAATTCCCTGAGCAAACACCGGGATCGGGCCGCATCCCCAGCCCGGAGCGGCCACCGGACACGGCACAGACCGGGCGGGCACGAGAGGGGGACAAACGGCGTTATTGGGAAGGGGGGGACAGACAGGGGGACAGACAGGGACAGACACGGACAGACAGAGGGACAGCCAGGGGGACACAGGGGGGCTGCAGCTCTGCTGTCCCACAGCCCTTCCAGGCTCTCCAGTGTCCCCACCGGGGTCTCCTCTCCCGCTCCATCCCTGCCCGGTCCCTTTATGTCCCCAAACCCCGCAGGACCCCCACAGACACCGCCCCCCGTTTCCCTCTGTCCCCAGGGGACCCCCCAGTCCCCCATCACCCCCGGGGGGTTTCCCCCGTCCCGCCGCCACTCCAGGTCCTGAATCAGCATCTTCCTCCCCACCCTCGTCCTCGCTGGGCTTTGGGGATCCACGGGGAGATCCCCGCAGAAACCGGGGCGGGAAGGGCGGCGGGACCGAGCCGCGGGCACCACCGGACCCAAGCGTGGAGAACCCCGACAGCCGCCGATCCGGTCACCCCAAAACCCAAAACCGGTCCGGTCCTGGCTCCCAAGCCTGGTCCGGTCGCCCGGGGCCCCGGTCCAGCTCAGTCCCGGTTAACCCCGCCTGGCCCCAGCCCAGTCCGGTCCCGGTCTGGTGGCTTCCAGACCCAGGCCGGTGGCCCCTGACGCCGCTCGAGCTCGGTTTCGGCTGCCCCCACTCGGTCTGGTCCCGGTTCGGTTGTCCCCAGCCCAGGTCGGGGCCGGTTTGGTGACCCCCAGCCCGCCCCACTCGGGTCCCAGCCCGGTTTGGTGGCCCCCGGCCCCATTCCAGCTCAACCCCGGTCCCGGTCCCGGTTTGGGGGAGCGGCTCCCGCCCCGCCCACACCCCGAGGCTCCGCCCACACGGCAGCGAAGCCTTCTGGGTAATGCAGTCCCCGTTTAACGGCGCTGGAAGGGCGGGGCGCTCCGGGACTACACTTCCCATAAGGCCTTGCTGCGGAGCAACGAGAGGGCGAAGCCAGCGCCGCCTGCTGGCCTGGAGGACTCCGAGCGGGAGCGCGGCCGTGCTCGGGCACCGGGCCGGGGGGACACGGGGGGCGCTCAGCGGGGACAGCGAGAGGGGACCGGGGACAGCGGGGACGCGCACGGAGCGCCAGCACCGCCGTGGCCGGGTGGCAGCGTGGGAAGTACGGCTCAGGAGGACGAGACCGAGGGAAACTGAGGCACGGTTCTGGCACCTCCCGTGACCCCACGGCCCCGGGGGTTCGCGCACCGGTCCGGTGCAGCTGCGGGACTGGGGGACGCGGTGAAGCGAGTCCGGTGTGCCAAGGACAAGCGCGGGCGGCGGGAGCGCGTCCCCGGCGGGCCCGGGCCGTGTTCCCGGCAGGTGGCGGCCGCCGCCCGCCCGCCGCACGGAGCTCCCCGCGTGTCCCCGTTTCCCCCGGCTCGGAGCGCACCGACCACTCCCGCCCCCGGCTGCAGGTCCCGCTGCACGGACAGAGCCGCCCCCGCGGCCCGGTGCGTGAATTGCCGCCCCCCGGTGCCGCCCCCGCTCCACCGACAGAGCCCCGGTGCAGCCCCGGGTGCACGGAGCGTCCAGCGGCCCACGAACCGACCCCCGCTGCCGCCCCCGAGAGCCGGACCGACCCCACTGGGCAGCCCCCGGTGCACGGACCGACCCCTCGGTGCACGCACAGACCCCCGGTGCAGCCCCCGGTGCACGGACCGACCCCTCGGTGCACGCACAGACCCCCGG